TATAGTCCGCACAGCCTGAATTCGGCAATGCTCTCTCTCACACTCCTAGGCTTTTGCCTGAAACACACTTTTATTTACTCAGAATGAGTTACAACTATGATCACTGCCGTAGGCACTGAGGATGAGCAAGACAGACACAGACTCTACCTTCACAGAACAAGCAGACCACAGAATGACCCATAATACATGAAAATGCTGTATGTACAGTATGTACAATGTAAAAAGTAAAATAAATCAATGGCACAGAGAGTGACTGCTGGCATGGGAGTGGTGTGCCTAGTGCGACTGAGTCTGAAGAGTGACTATTCCAGCTGAGGCTTCAAAAAGGTGAAGAGGGCCACCTGCCAACATCTGGGGAAAAACAGTTTGGGCAGAGGAGTCAGCAAGCACAAAGATCACAAGATGGGCACAGGTTTGGCATGTCTGAGGGAGAGGACAAGGCAGTGTGGTGGAGCACAGCCACGGGAAATGTGATAGACGCTGGTCATGAAGGGGCCGGGCCCTATGGGCACTGCTGGGGACTTGGCTTTGCCTCTGGGTGAGATGGCTCAGGAGCCAGCAGGGCTTTGAGCAGGGGGGTTACTCCTCAAGAGATCATTATGTGAGGAGCAGGGAATGTAAAGGGTCAGGAGTGGCCTCCCTCCCCTTGTCACCTGGTTAACTCATTCTCATCCTTCAGATTCCAACCCAGTGGGCACATCCTCTGGGAAGCCATCCCCATCTCCCTGCCTGGTCAGGTCCCTAGCTAATCTCATAGCATCAATTTCCCTTTATCACACCTAGCTCCAGGGTAATTTCTTGTGTTATTCCTGGTTATTTGGTTAATGTGCCTTCCCCACTAGACTCTGCACTCCTTAGGGACAGGCATACCCCTGCCTCTGTTCCCCTTACATCCCCAGCACCTTGCACAGAGCCTGGCATGCTGAGTGCTCAAGCAATGTGAACAGAGTAAATGAGCAAATCGTCAGCATCTCAGCCAATTTTCCACTCCCTCAAGTAATAGTTTCCTGCTTTTACTTCCTCCCTCCTCTGTGCCCCCTACGTCTTATGTCCACTCCTCCCAGAGAACCCAGAATGACCATAAATAGCTGCTGATGTGTGCACACACGTGCATGCACACACACACACACACACACACACACACATCAGACTGCACTCCAGAGGGCAGAGCATGTGTGTGGTCCTTCACTGCACCGCAGAGATCCCCTCCCCTTGAATCAGTCAGTGCCACTGTGCAAAGAACTGCCTCGCCCATGTGCACCTAACTCTGCTTCCTCGACCTACTCAAAGAACCCCAGCCCGAGCTTACTAGAGAGTCTGTGCTCATATCCCAAGTCAGGAGTCAAGCCCACTTCCCTCTCCTGGTTGAGCAGCAGCACCCACAGACTCACTGGCAGCAGGGGTCCCCCATCCTCTCCTGTACCCACAGACCCAGAACTGCTCACAGAAACAGGGGCAAGCTCTGTTTACAAAGACACAATGGTTATATTTTGCAAACCAAAGATGAGCATACATAGACTAAGGAGTATACTGGGAACAGAACACCAGAATGTCTGTCCTCTGGTCTGGCCCAGGAAGTTGGAAAACTTTCGTCCCTATTTTTAGGGCCAACTACTTTTCCATGATCACTGGTGCCAGTGGAGCCCACTTAATTAATCAGTGTATTCTTGAAACAAATATGATAGAAATAACTCTTGTTAGTAAAAAATCATATTTCATATGCTCTGCAAAAGCTTGGTAGTTAAGAAATTCTTTTTGCATAATAAAAATATTTTGGGGGAGTGCAATTTGCATTAAAAGCCTTGGAATAGGCATGCCCATGGCCCAATGATACTATTTCTGAAACATAATCCAAGTTTTAAAGGGCTACCCCAAATTTGAGCTATAAGAATATTTGTCACACAGCATTGCTTATAAGAGCATATCATTGAAAACAATCCAAATGTCCAGCAGGAAATAATAACTTAAAGTAATTATGGTACATCCATAAAATGGAATACGCTGCATTGAAAATAATAGTAATAACAAGTTAGTATTTATTGAGCACTTACTCTGCTAGGGACTAAGTTAAAAGCTTTGCACACACCATTTCATTTAACTATTCCTAACATCTCATTATCATCCCCATCTCACAGATGAGAAAATCAATACCTAAGAGAGTTAAGTCAAAAGCCAAGGTTACACAGCTAGTAGCCAGAATTCACACTCAGGCAGTCTTGATTCCAGACACCAAGCTTTTAACCATTATACTACACGGCCTCAAATGATGCCAATAGATAAGATATTGTAGAAGCAAGATCAGTCACATGGAACGATGCTGATGATGTAAAGACAGGTAAAACAAGTCAATTATTAAACAAGACAGGCACTGATCCCATTTGTGCATATTCATGCAAGCAAAGAGAGAAGGGTTTGGAAAGTAACACTATAACATCTTGGTGTAGATTGCTGAGTAGGTGGAACTGTGTGTGTGTTTATGTTTTCTTCTGCTTGTGTCTTCTAATTTTTCTGTAACAAACGTGCTGGTTCTGTATTTAAAAAAATAATAATTTTCAATTAAAAAAGTTAACATAAACGCCAAAAATCAGTCCCTTGCACTTATCCTCTGAATAAACCCAAGCATCCAGCTATCCGCCTTACTTTAAATATAGATACAACTGCTCTCATAGGACTCAGGACATGGCCTGAAGCCAGCTCACAGGCACTGCTGGCTCTTCGTGGTTCAGCTTCCCCTCAAGGCAGGCAAGGCTCCCCAATTGAGAAGACAGCACAGATTCATCTCACTCTGCCCCTCAGCAGCCTGCCCCTCCCATCCCGTCCCCCCAGGGTCTCCTCTGGGCATGTGTGCCCTGGAGAGCTGCTGGGATGAGGAAAGAGTCGTGTGAGCTGGAAGAGCTTGGCAGCTCCTGCACTGGCTCCAGCTTTTGCCTTGGAGCCAAGCCCAGGGACCCTCAGAGCCTAAGAATCTCTATCTCACTGCCGAGTCTATCAAAGAAGCACTTCACCGAGTGCCTGAAGGAGGGAGGGTGGCCCAGGGACAGGAGCCCCAGTTCTGCAGCCACATATGTTGGAGCCCCTCTTGGCCTGGCCACCTGCTTCCTGGCTATGTGATCTTGGGCGAATTATTTCTTCTCTCTGAGCCTGTTGCCTGTCAAATAAAGAATTAAAATACCAACTTGGAAGGGGACTTGTAGGAATCAAAATAATATATGTATAATATACATGTATATAATGATACCAATAAGTAACATTTCCTGGGTACCAACTACTGGCCAGGCACTCTGTTAAACATGTTATATGTCTGATCCTATGCAGCTCTCACAGCTGCCCTATGACAGGTACTGTGACTACTCCCACTTTCCAGATGATGAAATGAAGGCTGGGCAGTGAAGTCACTGGCACTGGCAAGTGCAGCAGTAATTTCTATTGCCATGCTTGGGCCTGCACCACTACACCACAAGCCTGACACAACATCTGGAACTTGGACTTCATCCAGATGGTTATCACTGTCACATCTCCCTGGGCCTCTGCCTGGCTTCGACAGCAAGGAACTCCCTCCTGGGTTCTTTCCATCCCCAGACAGCTGGCGCATCAGAGGCCATATACTCACTTTAGGATGCCTTCCTCTCAGGGTGACCAAACCTCCCCACACACACACTCTTTGAGCCAGCTCCAGTGACCACAGGCAATGGCTTTGCTGCTGTACAACCTATAGCAACCTTCCTCCAGACCTGGCCTTGTGCTCTGACCACCAGAGCTGGCCCAACAGAGACTGCCCACATTGTAGGAGTCCGGCCTGCTGGCCCTCATACCTGGCACCTGCCTCCAAACTCTTTCAATTCTTCTCAGAAGATCTGGGCCACAGGTCTGGGTCTCCCAGAGGCTCAGAACAGTAGACCTGTCTGGCCAAAGGGAATCACGCGAATCAGAAAAACAGTACCCTTAAGCAGCTTCTCAACCTTCCAGTGGAGCTAGGGCACCAGCTGTGATCCCGTGCTGGAGTCTGGTTGTGCAAGTGTGTACTGGAGAGTGGTGTGGGAGCGAGGGTAGCGGATGAGTGTGTGTGCATGTGCGCGCGTGGCTCCGAGTGTGCGCCGCTGCGATCGAGGTCCCGGGGCGGGCTTGAGGGGACGGTCTCCTCCCCCCACCGCGTTGAGAAATCTCAGTGAGTCACCAAGTGGTTCTGCATATTAATGAGCTCGCTCGCTGCGAGGGCAGGAGCGGATTTAAAAGAGGACTGGGCGGGCGGAGGGAGGCTGTGGAGCGAGCGCAGAGCCCAGCGCGGAGCGCAACGCGCAGCGATAGCCGCAAGGCACCCACCGACGGACGCAGCGGGAGCGAGCCGAGCCGAGAGGCGCGCTCCGGGCAGAGAGAGCCGAGCAGGGCAGTGTCTCCCGGCCGCCCCACTCCCGCGGCGCCCCTTCGGACCGGCGGGCGCCCTCTCCAAGTCCCCGCGCCCGCGCCGCGCCCCTCCGGCCAGCATGAGGCTCCTGACTGCCGCGCTGCTCCTGCTGCTCCTGGCGCTGTGCGCCGCGCGCGTGGACGGTGAGTGCCCGGGAGGTCCCTTGTCGCCATCCCGTTCTGTCCTGGGGAACCCAAGCGCCAAATGCTAGGCTTCCTGAGACCCCTGGGAATCTGGGTGGGCACCGAGGGCGGTCAAGGGGCAGGAGATCCCGCGCGCAACTGAAGGGCCCCTGGGCGCTCTCTCGCAGGGTCCAAATGCAAGTGCTCCCGGAAGGGGCCCAAGATCCGCTACAGCGACGTGAAGAAGCTTGAAATGAAGCCAAAGTACCCGCACTGCGAGGAGAAGATGGTTATGTGAGTTCTTGCTCCGCACCGTGAGCGTGTGGCGCTGCTCTTAACCCGGTGCTGAGGCACAGCGTGGGGCTGGGGCGGACTAACAAATGTTTCTCTCTGCCTTTGGCAGGGTCTTGGCAGGGCCTTGGCAGGGTCTTGGCAGGGCCTTTGGCAAAGCCTTTGTAATTGCCCAGCGAGTCCTTAGGACGCTGGCGCGACAGTCTGGAAGAGAGTTTGGAAAGAGAGTCACTGTCCCGTGTTCCGGAAAAAGCCTCTCCAAGGAGTTTACCCTTGTTAGGATTCAAACGTGTTTGCACTGCCCACCTTTCTAGGGTGATCAAGGGTTAAATCGATCCCATGTGCCAACTTAGAACACCCAGATTGAAACCACTCAAAACACACCCAGAACTACTGAACTCGCACTCAAATGGTGAGGAGTGCCACCTTCCTGTTACTGGAGAGAGGATTAAAGCAAACATCATCATAAGTCCTCAGACCCTCCTTTCAGAGCCTTTTTTCCAATCAGGGGATCGTGGACAGCCAGTTTTTGGCTTCTAGCGATTTCATTTGGGGAATGCTCCTCACTTTTCCTTCACCAGCTGGACTTCTGTGGGTCCTTGAGCCTGAGCAGTGCTGTAGGAAGTGCTCTGCTGGGGTTAATGTGCCACGTGGCCAGAGCCCTGCTTGGTGGGGATGCGGGGAATATCTTTGAAACTGGGGCAGAGAGAACACTGAGTTTCCTTGCTCCTCTGCCTTCTCAATTAACCACTTGTGGCCAGCACCAGTGTTTCTCCACCAGTACGCTCTTGGCCAGGAAGGGAGCCCTTGGCAAAGCAGCTACCAAATATCTGCCAGGGACCACTGGCCCCTCTTCCCCTCCCCCAGAAACAGGACACATTCTATTCCTAGTCTGGGCAAGTGTCTTCTGCCCGCTGGCCTTCCTGTCCCAAAGACCTCCCCACAGTGTCTACGCACTGATGCACTGTTGGTCTTAAGTTAGGGGAATTCAGAAAGCCACTGACTGGGCCTGGGCTGAACCCCACTGCTTTCCTTCCCAGATACCTAAATTAACCTTCTGTCCCTGCCTCTTGCCTTATGGACCCAACTCCAGAAAGCTGGCTGGAAAATCCTTTTTGATGGGGGCCAGAGGTCACAGGAGCTGAGGGAGGAGCCACGAGCCCTTCCTGGCTCCCAGCTTGAGGACTAAAAATGACAGGGACATTGCAAGTTAAGTCTGTAGTCCTCTAAGTGATGAAAAATGCTCCACACATCAAGCCAAGTTGCTGAGACCTTGTAGGTCAGGAGAAGCAGGGTGTGGGGTGCAGTGATATCTCAAAAGGACAGAATGCTCAGTAAACAGGCTTGCTCTTTTTCCTGGCTAAATTTTTCAGGAGAGAAAACTGACAGCCGGACAAGTGCATGAGCAGCCTTGTGAAAACTTGCAGGGGCCTCATGAGATCCGCAGACAGTCATCCTCTCTTAAACCTCCACCCCACACCCACACCACCCCCCATGCCTGAAGGCTGGAGGTCCTCTCCCCTCTCAAGTTCCTCAGACTTAGATCAGGGCCAGCACTTTCTACCAAAGCAGGTTTTCAGCCACGAAGGTTGAACAAAAGCAAGTTTTCCAGCTCACCCTGACTCACCCAGAAATCTCTGGTGGGGCGGGGAGGGAACAGGGGCAATCTGCTTTGCAAGTGGGAGTCCTTGTACCCAGAAGGGTCCAGGAGAGTCCAGATTCTAGAAAGGGCAATTTGTGTCAAATGTCCACTGAGCTCTTGCCAAAACCCTTGGCACACCAGAACCATTGAGGAGAGGAACACAGGACCCAGAATTTCTGAGCAATTGCTGGGGAGCAAAAATCCTCATGTCTTTAACCTGCAACCAGTTTTCATAGTCCCAGTACTGTGACAGAGCATTTGAGCCCTGGGTATCCTCTCCTGCTTCCTGACCTTCAGGTCCTCCAGACTTGGGATCCTCAGTCTGCACACTGACCACATTGAAGGAGAGATTTTTCTCTGGCTTTGCCATGTCTTTTCATTCCAAGTGCAAGAACAGCACCGTAGGCAGAGAGCAATGCATGGGCTAAATTCTTGCAGGGTGACTAGGTACTACTGGGGAGGAGACTGACTACAGACTCTACTCTGAAGCCTTGCCTCATGCCTGAGACCTCAAAAGAGGGACAGAAAAGGGGGGCGGGGCGACAGGTCTTATTACAAAAGTCAGTGAAATGAGGGCCCAGTCACCTGGCATTAGTGGAAGACTCATCCGTGCCCCAGCAAGCTTAGGCCATGCTGGAGGCCTTGGAAACTCAGAGCGCAGGGAAGAGACAGATTGCTCAGAAATAGTGTCCCCATTCTAGTGGCAAGATTCAATTTCCTCTCCAGTCAACCAGGAGACTCAGAGTTCATGGCGACCCTGCTCTCTTCTAGAACTCAGCCCATATGCCCTAACACTTCATCTCTGGGAACTGCAGGGGAGTAGCTGATCTCTCTCCCTCACTTCCCGCTCTGCCCACTCCGCCCTTCAACCACCCCTCTCTCCACTCCATCCCCCTGCACCCCAGCCCTCCACCATAGGTTGCTCTTGCTGTGACTCTCATCTCTTACCTTCCACTTTTCCATGTCCCCTAGGGGGTCCCTCATTCCTGAACACCATCCTTCCTCCCCCACCCAAAAGCTTCCTCCTAACCCCTGCCATCCTGACCCAGCCCTGGCTGACTGACGGGCACGGCAATTCTGGGCAGCCGTCTTGCTTCCCCCTCCAGGCCGATGCTCACACACTAAGGCTTCTCTTTCTCCATGGCCACCTCATCTTCCATGACAATTACTAATAATAGTAACTATTCATTGTACATCTACCAGGTGCTAGGCTCTCTGCATAGATTATGTTCTTGAATCATCCAATAATCCTGCGGGGGCGGGGGGGGGTTCCTATATTACACCCATTTTACAGATGGGCAAACTGGAATCAGAAAGGTTACCTGAGGTCCCACAGACAGACTTGAGACTCACACCCAGGCCCTACATTCTACGATGCCATCTGTTTTTCTGCCATGTGGCTAGGCCTCTACCAACTGATCAGGCCTGAAGGGAGGTCTTGTTTTTCTGCCCAAGGGTGAGAAAGCTGGGACTTCATGCTCAGGAATCACAATGGGCATCAAGGCTAACAAGATTTAGCTTCAGGATCAGGAAATGCCCGGCCCCGAGACAGTCTGCAGGGCACTGAGGGAGGCTGAGGTTTGAAGGGTCAGATGAAGACGACACTGTGTGCACAGCATGTCCAAGCCCCACCGTGGGGCAACTCACACCCAAGGACGGAGGTCTCAGCACCGCACCTTGCTGGCATCAGCTCTCTCCACCTCTTGATCCCAGGTTCAGAGGGGCTGGAAAAGTCCTCTGACCTTTGTTTGCCAAAGGAGGCATATGCTCTCTAGACAACACCCTGCATGAAGGTGGGGGTGAAGGACGGTGCAGGGGGTGGGGTGCGGGGGACACTATCACAGACCGAGGGCTCCAGGGGGAAAATTGAGAGCTGACCACTCCATACAGGGGTAGACCTTAACATGGGGTCAGAGGTTAAGGGAACAACCAGAACCTTCTACAGAACCAGCCTTGAAAGGAGGGAGGAGGCCACAGTCTCTCAGTGCCCTGATGGGGACAGACCAAGGCTACCCATAGGCCACACGGAGGGGCTGTCATTCAGGCTCCTCAATCTTCCACCCATCTTGCCTCATTTCAGCATCACCACCAAAAGTGTGTCCCGGTACCGAGGTCAGGAGCACTGCCTGCACCCCAAGTTGCAGAGCACCAAGCGGTTCATCAAATGGTACAACGCCTGGAACGAGAAGCGCAGGTATGCCCCACCTCCTCGCACCTTCCCACCAGATCCAGATTCTAGACCCTGTGTAGATCCTCTGGCCCTGTCTAATGGGCGAACGCCCACCACAGTAACCACAGCAGGCAGATACCCAGACACTACTTACATACCCCCAGGCACGAGGAGCTCACCACTTAACAAAGCAGGCTATTGCACTCTCAGACAGTTGTAAGCATCATCAACATATCCTTTTGTGAACTGAACTTTGTCTCATTTTAACTTACTTCATAGTCTTAATTCCCCTTCTTATTTAAATAACAAGTTCTCTGAACTCAAGTTTCCCTGTCAAAGGCTGAGTAAGCACCTGGCACAGCTCTCACTGTGGTACTTCTGAAATATAACCACTGACATGACTGATTTTATTAACCATAAAACTGTTAGTACAACCACAAAATAAGGATGACTCCTTGCCAACAATATATTCTTCCCTCAAGATGCCCATGCCCCTTGCTGCACAAAAACCTGATAAGCTCCTTCCCACATAGACGTAGGCAGGGACCTTGAGTTTTACCCTTTAAAATCAGAGCCACTCTTTAACTCAGGGGCAGCAGTGGCCAAATGACCAGAGCCTTAAACCAGAACCCCTACCCTCTCCGGGCTCTGTTTCCCCATAATCAGAAGATAGGTTCCCAGCTCTGATCTCTTGGGGTCTTATGTGGGAGACAAGTTCCTGGTTCCCCTATTCCACATAAAGGTGAGCGTGTCCTGGAGCAGACCCACTTTCTGCACACTCAGCGCCTGTATCTGTTTAGCGTGGCCAGGAAAGTATATGCACACACAGGTGGGTTCCCCAGAAGCTGGTGCCAGCACCTCATCCTTCAGAGGGGGAAACCAAGGCTAAGTGGGTGTGGGGAGTGACATGCCCGGGAGCACAAGGCAGGAAGCCAGGCTGCCCAGTGTCACCTTCCCCTCCCTACAGCAGGTGCTCGTGCTGCCCCTCCCATCACCCCATCCAGCCAGCCCTTCCACCCAAAGCTCAGCCCACGACCAGCTCTCCCACTGCTGACACTTGGGCCCAACCCCAGTACCTGGGCCTTTTGTGCTGCCTCCAAAACTGCCTCGTCTGCAGTTGCTTGAAATAGAAAGTGATGATACTGAAAGATTATTTTCTATAAGTCTGATGGGAACGAAGCCTTCTTTGTGGTCAGGGCAGGCAGCTCACGTGGCAAAAGCAGGATCTATCCCATCCACTGTCACGCTCCAGGCCCTGTGTCATCAAAAGTAGAACGAGGATAATCTCAGGGCCAGTTTACGGAGGGGCTGAGAACATCTTCATCAGACTGCTGGGAAAAACTCAGGCCTTTTTTCAGGAGTATTTGTCCACGTAGGCCATAGCTTTGATGAAGAGGAGGCAGGCATGGGTCCGTGTAGCCCTGTCCTTTATATTTCTGCTAATTCCAAAGATGAGAGCAGTGAGGGCACTGCTGTTCCCAGAACTCCCGTCGCCTCATTAGGAAATGAGTTCATCCCTCTTTCTTGGAATG